TGAGCGCACTGCGTAAGAGGAGTTCAATAAGTAAAGCTTGACACTAACTATTAAAGTTCCGTGCTTTTGATTTGACAGGAAGTGAATAAATTATTGGAAGTTTATGTTTGCACTGTCGCACGACTAATGGCGCTGCACGCTGTATAACAAGCTTTCGCCAGAGGATTTGAATATATGCATATAAGATCGATCGAGTATTATGGCGACAGGCAGGCTGTGTTTTTTCTGACGCAATGCTGGCTCGCTACCGTGTAAGCCACGGTTGTTCTCGAATCGATCGAGCAGCGCTGAATTTTCCGAGAAAACTCGTCAGCGGCGATGCGGACATTTGTCAAAACTCGCTCCGCCCATCGCGCAACACCTCTCCAGATATTTCTTTTGCCGCATTGTCCACGCGCTCGGGACAGAGAGAGAGAGAGAGAGAGAGAGAGAGAGAGAGAGAGAGAGAGAGAGAGAGAGGCCACCACAATCGCATTAAAGGCGCGGGGGCGCGGGCAACGATTTCCAGCGTGCCAGCCGCGTCCCCTCGAAACGCAGCGCGGCGGCGACACATCAAAGAGCCTCCAATGGCGATACCGATCTGCGCGCCTGGAGCTTCGGCTTCGATTATGCTGATGCCTCTCTCGCGCTCGCGTGTGCACTACTCGTGCTCTTACACGACGGCAGCCGGACAATAATCGGCCAAGCTTCGTTAGCTTCCAGCCCGATCGGGTTGCGCTATTTATTTGAGCCGGAGTCGGATGTGCTTGCGGGTAAGATGCTTTGTCGTCGCTCGTCAAGCCGATTCACGCAAATTATACGTTCGTAGCTTGGCTATCGTTTTACGTCGACGGGCTTTCGGGGTCCCAAGCGACGAGTTAGTGCACTCTCATATACACCGACACTAAACTACAGACTCGATTTTTTTTTTCGCCATCTTGCCGCTGGTAAACGCCAAACAATAACAAGGCCGTGTTTAAATTCGAATTAGCGCGCGTGCACGCAGGTGTCCGGAAAAGGCATAGCAGTCTGCGCGCGACCAAGAGTGGACCTTGGCCGCGAGCCGCGGAAATTGCGCAATCATCGCGTCGCGAACCGTTGACTGGATGGGGAGGCGTCGCTGACGATCATTGCGCGCACACCGCAAACGGGAGCAACGCGGCTCGTCTCTCTCTCTCTCTCTCTCTCTCCTACCCACTTGCAGCCCTTGCTGCTCTTCAGTCGCTTGTTTCGCTCGTTTTTGTTGGTCGCCTATCAAGATTCTTGAATTCTTTTTCTCTCCTTGCTGTCGAGATGTTTTTCGTTAATTTCATTCTTGCGTCAGGACAATAATAAAATAAAAAAAAAAAAAAGAAAGAAAGAAAGAAAAAAAAGAAAAGGCGTCTGCAGTCTGAAAATCTAACATTTAATAAAAAGCCAATCAAGACTGCTGCATACGCAATCACGGCCTTTTCGTGTATATACATTGCGCCAGAGGAGGTCTATTAACCAGCTAAACCAGCTCCAATGAAGCCGCACTTCGCTGTCGCGAATCAATTGACTCGGCTCCGTTGTATGTATATATGTATGTGCATTCAAGCCGCACCGCCACTGTCGACGACTCTATACGTCACGTCATCATAATCGTACGATACTGCATGGAGTTTGGGGGAGAGGGGGGCGTTACAGTCTCGTTGTTGCTTCGACACTGCATTCTCGTAAAAACAGAAAGAAAAGAAGAACTTTCATTGAATTGAAAAAGATTGAAATTACATACTCGAGAAAATAATTCGCTTCGTCACTTTTACGTACACTGAATGAGTTAATTTTAGTATATTTTCACAAAAAATTTTCATTAAAAAGAAAGAATCATCAGATTGACGTTTTACAGGATGAAAAGAATGAAACTTGACTGATTTATCGTAATGCATTTCGATATCGGTAAAAGGTCTACTAGAACTGCTATACGTATGCACATAATTCGTCACTCGTAAGTGTTAGCGCGCGACAATGTCGAACATATGCGAAGATACCTCAATCTGTCTAAAAGCTGCTTCTTAGGAAAAAAAGATTGCACCTTACCACGGCTCGAGAGATTGCAAGATTCGCGAAGAAAACGCTGTAATAAAAGTAACCGGTTACAGAATGTCCAAATTTAATCGACGAACCAATAGATGACCGCGTGAGTCCAAAACTTCGAAGCCCAGTACTCTGAGACGCAACAAATCAGTGCCCGTGAAAAGCACTTGGCTTTGCATTCCATCCGATTTTCACGTCCTTTCCGTTTTCTTTTTTGCTTTGGTTTTACATCGCGCAGACACACTGGCGGAGAATTTTTCTTTTCGGGGAAGGTCTCCACTCGCCAGCGCATCTTACATTTCATTTTTCAATGGGCTCTCGGCTCCTCGTCGTCTCTGACTCCAATGTTTTCCCGGGGAACGACGAGCGGTGGAACAAGAAAAAAAAAGAAACAAAAAAACAGAAAGAATCGCTTTCCTCGTCGATTATCGACTGGATTTGGTAAGGTGAGCCTAACTGGTTGCGTTGCGTGACGATGAGTTGTCGAGCGCTGTTCTCCACCGACAAGTCGTTGTTTGCGCGACGAGAGCGCGTCGCATACCCAAAGTTAGTCCGCGAAGGCGATTCTCGTCGGTCGGCGTTAGATGAAATCCGAAGGAAAACTTTTTGATTTGTTTCAGTAACGGTCAGTCGGTGCAACGCTACAAGGAGCACGAACCTTTTTTCTCCTTCGCGGAAACGCGCTCGAAAAGGATAAGCAATAACGAGTATACTGTCGGTTTGACAGTTCAAGAGAAGGTGGGGGCCAGTTGGTGTGCACGCTACGCACTCATTGCCGGCTATTACTCTCGAGTCAATGAAGAAAAGTCAACAGGGGCCCCCGGGTCACATAGATACGTGCGTGCCGCGAACTTGTCGAATAGGTACACAGGTGGTAAGTCGAAGCAAGCTCTCGTAAAAGGCACGCATCGAAGGAGTTTCCTTCTCCAAACAACATTATGCCGGGAAGCGCTCGCGTGCACTCGAGACCTTTTTCGTGGTCCATTCGGACGCCGAGATCTTTCCTCGGAAAGCAATAGTCACTGGAGTGGCGAGAGAAATTCAAATGTTATACAGGTCAGCCGGAGAACATTGGATTCATAAGAGTGTAACAAGCTTCGTCGACCAAGACGCGGCCTCGACGACGCAATGTGGCCGCGCGGAGAGAAGAATGGCTCGGAGAATAGAAACAGAGAGAAAAGAAGGAACGGAAGGGCGGCCAGGGAGCAGTGGAGCGCAACGGAGGACTAGTTGCCCTCGTGGCTAGTAGTAGCAGCTCGCTGCAAAAGAGAGCAGCGCCACACACAATGCTGCTGCTCCCCCATTCGCGCAATTAATTTCTCGAGGAGTTGTTGGCGCCGCTCGTTACCTTCTTCCCTTTTCGCTCTTTTTTTCCCATTTCCCTTTGTTTTACCATGTAAAATTGAGCTGCAGGATCATTTCTTCTGACTTACACTCGCGCAGTCACGCCGAAACATTCGAGCTAAGACTCGACGCCGGCCAATCGTCGAATCTCGCTGTCGCTCCAGTTTATCCGTGCTAACGGAAAAACAAAAAAAAGTGAATTTTACGTCATCTCCCTCTTCGCTAAAGGAATGACACGGTGATCCTGATCGCGGAGTGTTTCATTCGTCCTGCCAGTTTTGTATATGCATAATACCGAGGCGCAGAGATCACGCCACTTTTCGAGCGGCCACGTCAGCGCCAATCGGCGAATCGCGACCTCAAAGCTGCTGCTGCGAGAGCGGGGAGAGACTTTGTTTTTTTTTCGTTGCTTACCTCTCGCTCTCTCTCTCTCTCTCTCTCTCTCTCTCTCTCTCTCTCTCTCTCTCTCTCTCTCTCTCCTTCCATCTTTCACGCGAGCGACGAGATACTTTCTACGCGCATATCCACGGACTATTTTTTGCATACGCCGCCGACTTACGTAAGGACGTTGCGTGATCTACGCGGGAGGGCCGACGATCGTTGGTCTCATTCACATAGTCGCACTCGAACTTGACATTATCGAATGCAAATGAGAAAGAATCAAACGATTTCTCATTGATACGCGGCTCAACTGACTCGCGAAGAAAAGGCCTTTTGCGACCTTTGGCTAGCGGCCAACAGGTACAGCGAGAGAGCGAGAGAGCAGTGTCTTCCGTGCTTCCCAAGCCAATGCCTCCTATAGAATCTCGCTTGGGTGTCCGTACAGCTCATAATTTATCGTCCGCAAGCCGGGGCCGAGAAGCTTTCGCGTCCGAGCGGCTATACCGCGAGCGAAGGCTCGTTGCTTTTACGAGGCGGCAAATCTCCGCTTGATTTTCACTCCTCTCGGCGAGCGCACCGGCAGCCGTGTTATCGCAAGCACCGCAAGCCGGGCTTCGCTTTGCAAGGATGAGCGACCAATCGACAGCTTCGCCTTGCGCAACCCGTTGTGCCAGCCTTACTTTGGAGGTGGTCTGCCCCCTGCCCCCTCCCGCGCCCCTTGCAGCCCCTCGCAAACTGGACCGAAGCGAGGCGAAAGAAAGGTCGCGCGCGCGGTTTCGCCGAACGTCAGGCCACTCGGCCTGCGGTCACGTGCGCTCGCCGCAAGTACATCGGCCGGCGCCAAGTGCAGCTCGCCGTCGTTTATTTCTGTATTAAGCGCGTCCCTCTATTTATAGCGTGGCCCGTCCGCAGAGAAAACGAGAGGATTCGTCTGCCTCGGCGCGTCACCGTCTTGCCGATCGGCGATGCCCGCGCGCGAGCGGTGCGTTCGTCCCACGGCGGCTCGCCTCAGTCGGCGGACGTGCAGCCGCGCACAGTCACGATCGTACGATCCGCGCCGGCACGGCGCGCGATTCCACGGACACTTGACCCGGCGCGGCGACGATGCGAGCCCCTGGCGTCCGAGCCGTCTGTCGAATCTTGCGCCGGCGCTGAATCGGCGCGAGAGCCGAGCAGCGGCTCTCTCGCCGCTCGGGCGCGAACGGACACGCGCGCCGGGGATCTCGCGAGCGGACGAGCGCGGCGAGTAGGGGAAGGCGCGACTGCATTGCCGGCGTGCCAGCGATCCGCCGCGTCTCCGCGCGACTTTCGTTTCGCCGGCTGGCAGCTCCGTTCTCCGGCGCGTCCTCGCGCCCCGCGAGATCGGCGTGCACGAGGTCTGCCCCGGCGCGAGAGCGCACGTCCGCGAAAGACCGGCTGCAGCGGCGAAAGCGCAACGAGAGCCCCCGATCCTCCTTTATCGGTGCGCGTCGCACAGCCGATCGAAAACACCTGATGTCGGCGCGACCAATCGCAGCATCTCGATCCCTTTCCTCGGCCGGCGCCGTCCGCTAAAATTGGCTCGCCTGGCTGGTACGCGCGTGTGCGCGCGCCAGAGTCGCCGACGGGGGCTCGTCCGCGGCCGCGCGCACTCGCATTGGCTTGGCGCCGAGGTGGGGCGCGAGCCCGAAAAACCGAGACGCCGCGCGGCTCCGACGCCAGACGCCGATCGCGCGCGCGACTATTCGAATCGCCGCTCTCCTCGCTGCCCTTTGCTCGCCCGTTCTCGCGCCGAATCATGGCCGTGGAAGCAGCGCGGATCGCGACGCTGGTACTGGTGCTGATTGCCGCGGGCCTGCAAGTGGTTCAGTGCCGGCCGACCAATTCCAGCGAGACCTACACGATCGTCAAGAGGCTGCCAAGCGGCATCGTCGAGAGGATCGTCAGGTGGCACGACGTTTGCGCCAAGGAGGTCGTCTCCGACGACGAGTAAGTTGCCTTTCGCCACTCGGCAATCGGCTCGCCGCGCTTGCAACGCGGACGTCAGCCTCGCGAAAAACACGTGGCTGGCGCTTCGTGACGTCCGAGCTCGGAGTCAACTGCCGCCGCACCGGCTACGTGACGACGTTCCGATTCGAGGATGCAAGAGAGTACCTCGTCTGCCTGTTTACGCGTCATTTACGGCTCCCCTCGCTGGCATTATCAGCGCCAGACTTCCGCGCGAGAACCGATGCGATTCGGATTTATGTGCTTTCATTGATTTGCCTCGTTTCAAGTTCGAAAGCAGACGATCTCTCGCTCTCTCTCTCTCTCTCTCTCTCTCTCTCTCTCTCTCTCTCTCTCTCTCTCTCTCTCTCTCTCGTAAAGCGTGAAGTTGTGCGATTGGGAAAGAGCGAGCTCGCGATGTAACGTTATACCGCGAGTAGTGCAAACCAATGTATTTCGGCGCTCTCATTTCGGGATTTTCGTCGTCTAGTTGATTGGCATAATCCGACCGTTTCGTCGGACGCCAATTAATTGACGCGCGCCAAGGCGCAACGGCGAAAACGTTTCCCGGGAATTGGCTTTTCATTCTCGATCAATTGCCTCGCAACTGGCGCGCGTGCGAGAAAAGCCGTCACGGGTCAACGACGATGCGACGCGTGCACACGACCGCGCGTCGCCGAAGATCGCCAAGAGGTTTATCGTTGAAGCAGGCCCATGCCAAAAGATCGCTCTGAGAATCGAGCGAAAGTCGAGAGTGCGTCGAGACGTCGCGAATTGAAATGTACATTGTACCGTCGAACCTTGACCTCCGTCGCGAAGATAGGCCCGCAGGCCAGCGGACGCGATGTCTCTGGAGTCAAGATTTATCAGTAGGTCGGTCCATTTGCCGAGTTATCGGCTTTTCATTGATTCGCCGAATTTCAACTGATTGGAGAGACGTCTGCGATGCTACATCCGCGATACGAACTTGTCATTGAATTTGCGCGTGGACAACGATAAAAAGTAGCGTTACGTCTGTGCCGCCTTGCTATCGAACTGTAAGCACTCGAAACGATATTTCCGTGTAAAGCATTGCCGTTGTTCTTTTCGTTATTTTCAATGCATTTGACGACGACGAACAATAGCGGATTCAGTTGTTGTCGAATGAATTTGCTCCGCGAACGTGCTCGTCGGCGACAACCACGAACGAGAGTCGAGTTACAACGACTCGAAAGCGACCGATTGAAGAATGGCGCGAGGCAATTCGAGAAATGGCCTCTCTCGGTAGTTCTCATTATGCATTCCGACGGAGCCATTTGATTTGCAAATCGAAATACCATTCACGACGATCATCCGCGACGCCCGCGAAAGCTTCTCCCGGCACGACATCGGACAACGGGCAATCGCGCCGAAACTCGACCGAGCCGTGCCCGCGTAATACCTCGAAACTTTGGAAAGCCCCGGGCGGGGGGCCGCAACGTAAAAGCAAAGATGCGGCGAGGAAAGCCGCCTGCGCCAACGACACTCCCCGCGTGGCGGCGACCGGCCGTGCATCGCGGGCCACTCTATCTGCAGGGGCAGGCCTCTAAGCCGGCTTTCGGTAGCCGCCACTTTGCGCCACTTTCGGCCGCTTTGCGCCACTTTTCTCGTGCCGCGCGCGGTTTTCAAAACCGACGAGAGCGCGGACGGCGCTCGCGCGGCCACAACTGGCAAGCGAGACGCGCGATGCGCGCTTTTCAGCTCGTCGCGATCCGGCCGCCGCGCGATAACGAACAATGTGCGAGCACCGCGGCTGGCCATTGATAAAGTTCGCCGCGCCGTCGATAGCCGCGCAACTGTTTTGGCGAACAATGCCGTTCTGACTTTTCTTTCGTCGACGTTTCGCAGCGGGGCGGCAACGATGGTGAGGCAGGTCTGGCTGGACGACAGCACCTTCGAGCTGAACATGGTGTTCGCGGGCGACAACTTAACGCAGCGCTGGATCGACGAGACGGAGATCAGCGACTTCATAGTGTGCGAGGAGGAGTTGCAGCGCGTCAACGAGCACCAGTTCGAGCTGACGCTCCAGCTCCACGCCAACGACAGCGCCGACATCGACGAGCAATTCCCCTGGCTCGCTCGGTCCGTCGAGCACCTCAGGCAGCAGACCTCCAAATCGTGAGTCTGGCGTGCGAAAACGGAGCGTCGCGACGAACAAAAGCGCCCCACTGCGCGAGATCGATCGGCGGGGCGGGGGGGGGGGGGGCAGGAGCCATAACGCGCAACGAGCGCGTGCCATAAAAGCTGAGAGAAAAATCGCGGTCGGCGCGCGCGGAAGATCGCGACGCCTCGCCCCACACGTGCGCACGAGTATCGCCTTTCACGGGTCGTAAAAAGGACCGCGGATGAAAAATCGCCCAGGGCACCCCTGAGGCGCGAGTGCGCGCAGCTTTCTAATTCGATTGGCGATGCGCAGAATGGAGCAGTCGTCATCGCGGAGAGCGAGACGCGGCATTCAAGAGCTGATCATAGCGCCGGGCACAAAGTGGTGCGGACCGCATCGATTGGCCTACAGCTACAAGGATTTGGGCGCTCTCGATGGCCTTGACAGGTGCTGCCGGCGCCACGATCATTGTCCACGCGCCATCTCGCCCTTCTCCGAGAGATATGGACTTTTCAACTACATGCCCTTCACCCTAAGTCACTGCGGATGCGACGAGAGGTTTGTTCGTCTCCCTTCTTCTCCTTTGCCCTTTTCTCTTTGTCTTGCTCGGACAGTTTTCATCGTTTTCGTCTTTTCTTTTTCTTCGTGCGCTGTTTCGATAAACCACGGATGCTCACGCTGAGCGATGTCTTACTTGCGCAGTCGCGGGGAACGCCGACCTTTTCATCGAATGCCTCTCGACGACTAGAGCGGTAACTTATCTCTTATTCGGGAGCTTCAAGCGAATGGCATTGTTTCCCTTCTAAAAGCTGTTAGCGAAAATCACGTCGGTGCAGATAAATACTTTTGCCTTCTGATCGTTCGGGTAACGATTACAAATTTAGTTAGAATCGTTACACTGCTTAATAGAGATTAGAATAGTGAAGACTCATTGTCGCGTTAGATTTTCGAAGTGACTGGCAGATTATATATCGCACCTTCCAAATCACGAACGCCTTTTAATCATATGCGTTCGTTATTCTTACAAAATAAATCAATGCGGCTCTCAGTTAGAATCTCATTTCTATCGGCAACTACAAAAAACATTTGTACATCGCCTTGGAAATTGAAGATATAATTGCATAAGCATTTGATACTGATCGGCGAAATGTGATCGCGATGAGATAAACGATTGTCGTGACTTTTGTAGCATCGACGCTGATAATACTTATTTGATGTTTCCTTTTAGATTCAGAACGTGCTTGAAAATGACCAGCACGTCGTCGGCAAACCTCATCGGTAAAATCTTCTTCAACATGGTCCAAACAAAGTGTTTTGTCCTGAAGCCAGCCAAAATCTGCAAAAAACGATCTTGGTGGGGCAAGTGCGAAAAGCATGTCTACAAAAAGCAAGGATATCTGCGGGACAACGTATCGTATTAAGGATGGCTCAAGACCAAAGCGAATTCACAGACAAACGATTCGCTTAGCACGAACTTCAGGGATTCAAATCTAAATGTGCAAATTTGGGTACTTTTTCATGGAGCGCAATTTTCGAGAAGCACATTCTGCCGGCAAAGAAAAAGAAAACGATATTTTTCGAAAAGAAAAAGTCTGGTACTTGAGTTGTTTTGTTACTGTGTAACATCTACGTATTAAAGATTTTTTTAAGGCATACCTATGTGCTTTTATGCCTAGTTGTGATTTCTTTTAGGATAATGTTTGTACATATTTCAGATAGAGATTCGTTTTTTTTTATATAGTTTTGGGTTGGTTTGTTTATTTATTTTTATATGAGCGGAATCGAAAATTGCGATTTATTCTAGTACCTAGTATCACAAGCCGCCAAAAACAATGAAAACTCGTCATTTATCGTTGCAACTACTTAAACGGAAAACGAAACTATATATCGTTCGGTTACCAGTTTACTGAACTTTACTAAGGGTATTACATAATTTTAAGTTAGAACTAAAAGAAAATCTCTACTTACCATGGTTTATATTTAAGTATATTGATGATTTAATTAATTGGCGATATTTTGTATATATAATCTAAATTAGGTTTAAGATAGATTTATAGGGCAGCTGATTTATAGGTGTAATTTTTGCCATTATAATATGCATATCAAAGCCATTGCAATATTTTCAATCTATACTTGAACGAAAAAAATGAAAATTTCGTGAATTCCGGAAATATCAATAATTTAAAAACTATGAGTGAAGATGCTTACGTGCGACTAGAATGTAAAAGTACTTTATTTATTGATAAAGGTAGCAATTATACTTTTTACAATATTAGTGAACACTATATCCGTGGCATATTGTTTTTAATTATTCATTTTGACAACTCATCATTTTAGTGATCGTTTCTTACAGTAAATTACAAATTTTGTGAGATTATTTTTAATAAAAGTTAATATAACATGTGAAATTTCATTTAATTTAAGCTAAAGACTAATCATATTGAGAAAAAATTACATTAAAATCATTAACAGTTTTTATTTATGCATGTTAAATCAATGGTATTATAATTATGACTGAAAGCATGAATTATAACTTCAAAAATTGTAGATATTCATGATTCCTTACATACTTTGAAAAGTCGGTAATGCTTTTCGTAATCAAGTAAAACGTGTTATACTTATATTTAATGAATGCGCCGAATACTAATTTAATTAAATTTCTGTCGGTAAAAATGAAATAATATTCGTATAACTGGAGAACTCTTCCAAAATTCATCTTTTTTATGCAATTCACAATTATTCAAGCTATATAAAGACAAAATTAAAATTAAAAAATATTCAGATTCCTAACTATAAAATTAGGAAAACTTAGACAATATTGAGGATTTTATAGAAAGTTTAATCGGTCGTGGAGTACAATAATATTAACATTCCAACTAATAACTACAAGAACGTCCTTAAAAATAACAATCGGATATAGTAATGGAAGATGTTGATGTATTTTAGCAGGAAAAATATTATTCGTGTTGGATAAAAAATTTGAGAGCGCATTTCATAATCTTTAAATTTTAATAGATTGAAAATACTATAAGCTCATAGTTTAAAAGATACGCAAGAGTTTTTGTCAAAGTAGACAAACGCGTAAGTGGTTGCAAGATTAATCTGCATGTCAGAGAAGAATATAGATATAATTTACAATGTCGGTAAATAGGTTGTGCGATTTCTGGCTTGCTCATCACGTTACATATATGTATATGTAAAATATAATAAAATAGCCAATGTCATAGACAATATCTTATGCCATGCCACACTTTCTAGATTATAGCTAAGATATGTAATGATTATTGTAGCGTCGAAAGACTTTAATAAAATGTTTAATCAATAAAATTATTACTTTTTCGAATTTCATTACGTAAAAATGCGTACGTCAAACTCATGAATACATAATTATTGAATGATTTTTGCATTTAGAAAATTGCGAATAATTTTGTATGATTTATTTGAATAAATAATATACTTTAAAAGTTCTTTATTGCAACTATTTTCATGTGCTTGAATTGAAATAAAATTTGTCGATTGCACTTATTTTCTTCCCTAATTTTGTTTTCAATTCTACGTCAGCTATGAAATTTAAATTGACGTTTTGGATTTCGTATGGCTTTTCTAAATTTTGACTGATAAATTTCCAAGACTTTTTAATTAACTTTTACCAAATATACCAATTTACCTAAATGACCCTTGAAGAATATTCGATAAAATGCAATTCATACGTAATCTTAAAATTTAATTATACATGGAAGGAAGTGATTGTGCGAAATAAAAGATTAGATTTTTAAAGATTATGTACTTATCTGCTATAAAAGAAGCTGGATAAAACTAGCGCCATGGTGGGAGTCGACGCTCAGTCATTCGATGATAGTCAGTGCGCGCGCAAATAAGCTCTAGGTCGGGTGCACATTTACAGGTAATTTTGTCCTCATATCTACTGGCACTTCTAAAGTTTCCATCCAGCTTGAGCGATCAAATTTACAGCCGTTAAGAAATTGTCGAGTTGTATTAAAATTTGTTTTCGATAGTTTCAATTGTAAAGTAAAAGAATAAAAATAACGTTAGACAAATTGAGTTCAATCAGTTCGATAATCTGTGTTTTGAGTAGAGCGTATTTGCTCTAAAACACCAAATGGATTTAATTCCACTCGAAAAAAATGTTGCAAATGCCAGTGATATTTCATCATACTCAAATATAAATGGTTAAAGTGTGTTGTGTTCACTAGCATTACGAAGCTGCATCGTAAAATCCGAACATGATCACGAGGCTCAGACTCTGCTGTAAGTTTAACTATTTCCTCTATCTAGAACAAATTAGTATTAGAAATTAAGGTTGTTCAATTGCCGTATCACTATCATTGGAAAATAGCGTACCATTGACACAATTTAGTTTTCATCGTAAATAATACGTCTGGTACATAACTACTATTTGAATAAATAAAGTTGGACGCGATGACGTATTCGACAATTGTGTTTTATTTTTTATAGAAATAAATCCACTGTAGTCTAAGAAAGATTGCTTGTCGTTAAAATTTTGTCCTTGAATTTATTTTCGGTTTCTTTTCTTTTTCGTCATGACAAATCAGTCAATCGGCCGTTAGAAGCAAAACAGTTTTTTTTTTAATTTGTTAGACGATTCATTGCGATGGAATATGAAAAATAACGAAAGCAACGTGTTTCCAGGTGCTCCAATCGCGCAGCGATGGGTGTTCGCTCTGATGGGCTTTTTAGCCCTTGTCATGGCCTACGGCATGCGAGTAAGTCTATCCATTACAATCACCGAGATGGTCGTACCAATATATAGAAATGAATCCGAAGATGGCACGTGTCCAAGACTCGACGAACCCGCCGCAAGTGCTAATTTGAGTATCAGTGTTGCCGATCGCTACAACTGGAGCGAATACACGCAAGTAAGGAAAAAAACAATAAAAGCCTTATCAATTTGCTCGCGCGAGGTGGCAGTAAAAGCTCGATGACATTAATACGAGAGAAAGAGAGATTGGAATCGAGCAAAGATAAGTTGACGTGCCTCGGAAATTCTCTAAATCGCATGGTAATTCGAAACAATTGTGCGTTACTCGATCCAAAAATAATTTTGTTCGATAAGATTCATACATAATTAAATACGATAGCCATCGTTCGATGTTATCGCGAGCGCGTCGCATTGCGACAGCAATAACCGAGCGAAGAAAGGTGTTGGCACGCCTGGCCAACGTAGGAAAGAAGGAGAGGCAGAGTGAAGAGCGAAACGGTGGTTTGCAGGGTATCATCCTGTCGTCGTTCTACTGGGGCTACGTGGTGACGCAGATGCCGGGGGCTGCCCTGGCCGAGAAGTTCGGAGGCAAGCAGACGCTCGGGCTCGGGATCTTCTCGACGGCACTGCTGACGGTGATGATACCGAAGACCGTCGAGTGGGGGGACTCGAGCGGGCTGATAGTCCTGCGCGTGCTGATGGGCCTGTGCGAGGGCATCACGCTGCCGGCGCTGAACGCGATGCTCGCGCAGTGGGCGCCGCCGGAGGAGCGCTCGAAGACCGGCTCGTTCGTGTTCGTCGGCGCGCCGCTCGGCACCGTGTTCGCCACCGCGCTCAGCGGCCTCATCCTCAAGCACACCGGCTGGCCGGCGGTCTTCTACTTCTTCGGCGGCGTCGGCATGCTCTGGTACGCCGTGTGGCTGCTCGTCTGCTACAACACGCCGCGCGAGCACCCGTTCATCAGCGAGAAGGAGGCCAAGTACCTCGAGGAGCAGCTGAGCGAGCACGCCCACGAGAATCCGCCGCCGGTGCCCTGGAGGCACCTGCTCACCTCGATGCCGCTCTGGGCCTTGATATCCGTGCAGGTCGGCCACGACTGGGGCTTCTACACGATCGCCACCGACCTGCCCAAGTACATGAGCAGCGTGCTGCACTTCAGAGTCGATCAGAACGGCTACCTCTCGTCCCTGCCCTACATCGGCATGTGGCTCTGCTGCCTGTTCATGTCTTGGCTGGCCGACTGGCTGATCGCCAAGGAGCGCATGTCCATCACGGTCGTGAGGAAGGTGGGAACGACCATCGCCTCGATTGGCCCTGGCCTCTTCATCGTCGCTGCCTCTTACGCCAAGTGCGATCGAGTCTTGGTCGTCGGCATGTTCACGCTCGGCGTCACCCTGCTGGGAAGTGGTATTCCGAGTCTCAAAGTCAACGCGCTGGATCTCAGTCCCAACTACGCCGGCACTGTCATGGCTATAAGCAACAGCGCGGCCGCCTGTACCGGCATATTGACGCCTTACATCGTCGGAGTACTGACGCCCAACCAAACGATCGACCAATGGCGCGTCGTATTTTGGATAATATTCATCGTGCTCGCGGTCACCAATGTGTTTTACTTGATTTTCGCGAGTGGCAAAATTGCCGCGTGGAACGATCCCGTCTTGATGCAAAGAAACAGAGAGGAGAAGAGGAAAGCGCTACGAGTCACGCGAATTACGTGATCGCGATCGATTCGATACCATTCGCTTCCTTCGTTTCGTCCCGATTACTCATCATTAGCTATTCATGAATTTGCGTTTTCTTAGCGCGTCGTACACTTTCACGCGCCAACGACTCTCTCCTCTCTGGCGCGCGCTCAAAATCGCATTCTTTAGTATTCATTTTTATTTCAGTTATACACCGTTGGATGTTTTACAGTCATGCGTTAACTGTCGAATGTTTTTTTCTTGTACTTTACGTAAGTTCGTTTCTTTCTTTTAGTTGGAAAATAACTTGAAGCAAACAAAGCAGTTGTCATTGGCCAATTGACCAATATTGTACTAATATGTTGAATTGACAATTTACTGGCAAATATTGACGACGCAGTTATTTGTCTCAAAGCAAGTATTTTTTGAGTCTTAGATATCTATGTACATCATATTTATTTTCACTGCCTTCGCAAAAACGAACAATTATCGATTGCTTTGGTTTCAACATATATTTTGTACCTTCACACATCGTTCGCAAATGCTGATCTTCTTCAATTTTTATATTTTTATAAAATATTATTGTCTACTCGATTTCATTAGTACTATTAGTTTCATTCTCTGCGCTCTAATTATATATTTATAAAGTTTACAGTATTTTCTGAAAATTTTCATCAATGATTTTATGATTTTATGAATGTTCGTACAAATATTACATACACGATAGTCCAATTGAATGTGTCCAATTCGTGTACATGCGCGTGTATACTTATATTTTAAGATTATACCTGAACATAACAAAAATTATTCATTAATGCACCTGTATGTATGCAGCCTTTCGTACTGGCATGGTAGATATGTAGTTTTAGATTTTATTAAATGTTACTTCTGAAAATATACCGACTTTAATTTTTCATTTTTACTACAAAAGTCCGTCCAATAATGAAGGTACACTCATAGATATTTTTATACACTTATCGGTATAACAAAAGTAAATTTAAACTTGCATTACTCGGTATTGATAAAAATTGCATTGATTATGTGACTTGTTGATTTGTAAAATTTAATCTTATCATACATCAAATCAAATACAATCTGCTAGATAGGTCTCGGTATATACGATAGGAAACTTTAATTGACGCTCTAGTCGTGAGTTCTTGAGTGTTATAAAAAGTTTATTCGGGGCTATAATAACACGTATTTATTAAGAATTACTGTGTAATGTAAATTTGCACAAGGTGAATAAAAATATGCCATTATTTCAAAAATGTAAGTTGAAAGATTGTCGTAATTAAACGTAAGATTTTTATCAAGGTATTCTTATTTTTATTTATAGTATTTTGCATACCACAAAGATGGGTTGTCGCCATCATGGCATTTTTCGCATTTTTCAATGCTTACACTTTGCGAATATGCCTTTCGATGGCTATCACAAAGATGGCTAAACCACTGAATTATACGGAAACATCGCTTGCTGAGGCCTGTCCGCCTTACGACGATGACCCTCTTACCAATTTCACATATAATACAACTACTAAAGTCATATACGAGGGATCTTTTGAATGGAGTGAATATACGCAGGTATGTCGTATAGCTAGCTATGTATCCAATAACAAGTGATTATTAATTGACAAATCTTATAACTTCAGGGAATCATTCTTTCATCTTTTTACTGGGGATACATATTGACACATTTGCCAGGTGGTTTGTTAGCTGAAAAGTTTGGTCCAAAGTATACGATAGGTTGCGGAGTGCTTTTCACAGCTATTTTCACAATTTTGACTCCAGTTACTACTGTCTGGGGCGATGCAAATGCTCTGATATTTTTGCGATTTCTTATGGGCCTTTGCGAGGGTGTCATACAACCAGGAGTCAGCTGTCTGCTTTCAAAGTGGATACCTTCGAATGAAAGAACTTTAGCAACCTCTTTTGTTTTTTCGGGAATTAGATTCGGGATACTAATCTCAAGTGTCATGTCTGGATTGATAATGAGTAATTCTGGCAAGAGCTGGCCAAATATATTTTACTTGTTCGGTGGCGTTGGTATTTTGTGGTTCGTCTTCTGGGTATTTCTCTGCTACAACAGTCCGCGAGAACATCCTCTCATTAAAGATGAGGAAGAAAGATATCTGAATGAATGTATGTCAGAGCATATTCACGAAAAAGCACCACCTTTTCCATGGAAAAGTGCACTGAAGTCTAAGGCATTTCTAGCTATAGTGATCGCGCAATCAGGATCTGATTTTAATAGCTATACAATAATGTCAGATTTGCCCAAATACATGCAAAACGTATTGAAGCTACCAATACATCTGAATGGATATGCTTCGTCTGTACACAATGTGAGTGCCTGGATATTTTGCATGATTATGTCTTGGGTTTCCGATTGGTCTATTGAAAAAGGCTACGCATCGAGAACCAACATGCGAAAGTTGAATACATTCGTAGCAAGTATAGGTCCAGCTATTTTTTTGGTGATGGCAATGTATGTTGGTTGCAATGTTGCTTGGGCAATAGCTCTCATTGCAATTGGATTGACTTTCGCCGGGAGTTCGCATCCTGGTTCTAAAGTCAACGTTCTTGATTTGAGCCCTAATTACTCGGGAACTTTGCTGGGCATATCAAATGGAATCGGAGCATTCATGGGTATTCTTGCACCGTATGCAGTGGGCGTTTTGGCGCCAAACCAAACACTCGACGAGTGGCGATTAATATTTTGGATTTCAGCCGTCATATACTTTTTTACAACAGTGAATTATTTGATTTTTGCGAGTGGTGATGTACAAGACTGGAATGATCCGAAGAGATTGCAAGAGAAACGGAGCAGTGCTGATGTCTTGGAAGATGTCGAACGGCTAACTGTCAATAAAACAAAAGTATCAACGTTAAAAAAAACGTATATGTAAAGCGCCGCGTTATCAAGTCTCCAATTCCATGTATCGTTTTATATTTAAAGGATAATTAGTTTATAAGAATTTCACTTAGGGACGTCATTGATTGTAAAAAAAATGTTAACGACCAGTAGTTATGGATCATTAAGGGAAGTTTGAGTATGAATAGTAATACTAGTTGTAGCATCGTTTTACATCAATAATAAATTAAATGCTTGACAAATCTTACCTTTTAATCAAAGAAAATGTGATACTTTTTAAAATAGCATTATAAGTATTCGTTAGCAATGAGGTGATAATAGAGCAAAGAATGTAGTGACATTTATAATCATTGTACCTAATACAAATTCAAATTTATGTATCCTCAGACGTATTTTTCTTTATTTTTAAAACCATTCAATTAAATTTCATAATTTTTCTATTATTCATTATGATAGAAGTAAAAATTAAGTAAACTATAAGAACAAATATGAATAAGAAAATATCTGAGAACCCTGCGAAAACGAAATAAAAAGAGAATGAGAATTCTGGTTGTCTTTGAATTTTTTCATAGAAATATACAGTTGTATAACCAGAAAGTGCACCCACAAAAAGGAATATTTGAATGCAACTAGTGTTGAAATATTCTGTTAATTATTTCCTTTCTCTCTCGGTCTCATGCGTAGCTGTATATGAACATTCACTCAAGTGACGCCTACACAGAATATTAAGGGGAGATAAGTCATAGAAGTGCAGCCGATTCGCTTTCCGTTGAATTTTCGAGATTTAAAATTGATATGAAAATACAATGTTATGATTGATGTTAGAGTTCAGAGGCCTGATTAATAACAATTTATAGACAAAAATTATGACTACTGAAAATCTCTCAAACATTTTTCAATTTGATGTTAAAGCTTAGTTTGGCGCAAATGAGCAAAGTATTATAAAATTTTAAGTTTTATTTAAATAAATAAAGATGTTACAGAAGTTATTCATTAATACTCAATATGAAAAAAATGTCTATATATACAGGGTGTTCCAACATTTTAACTTGGATAGTACGATAGCTTAAATTTTTGCAAAGTACTCGAAAAATGTTTTAGATAAAAGTTATGTAGTTTAGAGAGAGTTAACTGTCGCTGCCCTTAAATTTGACCTCTAATTTGATTTTCAAGGTTATTTCCAGGTCAACCTTATTTTTTCTTGATAGGCATCTTTATTTTTGTCCATGGATTCTGGAAGAACGGGAAATTTTACGTTCAGATAAAGTATCATATGTGGGGTCCGAGAATGTCACATCAAAGTCATGCGAAGTTCAAAGTTTTTTCTTTTTACCAAATAACCCGATAATAGCAAGATACAACAAAACATGTTTTAGACAACATCAGCTAAACTTCGGTGACTGCATGTAACTTGTAACGATCGTATTATTGACATGGAAAAATATAGAAACTATAATGATATACTTTTATTAACCAATGTTGAACTGTAATTTATTATTCAATACGTGGGTAAGAAAGTTAATGCTTCTTCATTAAGACGCGATCGAGCTCCGACAATGCGAGTCAACCAAAATCGAAACGACACAATCGAGTATATCAACGAGACACTATGACAGGATCGTTCAGAGAAGGCGTTGCGCAGCTCGCACATGGATTACTTATCTTGTAATCGCGACGCAGTAAAGATAATCATTGGCTCATCTCTTGGAGCCTCTTAGTCGTTGCTCCCCTTAGACCACGGGAATACTTGAATAGACTTTCAGCTTCCTTTGCAGCGTCGTCGAGGCGTATTGTTACGAGTTTGGAGTATTATGAAGTGAAGTCGGGCAATGCCATACGCGGTATTCCTCAGAGTTCGTTGTGAGGAGAGCACGGTAAGTAAAGATGTTGCTCCTTCGGCGGACTCCAAACGAGCGAGCACTTGTTACGATATCTCTGATGACCCTGATCGTACCACCAACTCTAAGACCTAACCGCTAGGTGATAACTGAATACACAGTCGGAAGAGTCATCGTATTTCGCGCGGTATACGAATGAGCAATTGTCACGCCACAAATTTTAAACTTGATTATCAGATTCATTTCCGGTTCAATTTTGTATTCTTCAATGTGGATCTCATTTTTTTGTTCCAAATTCGAAAAGAACGGGGAATTGTACAGATGAACTTTCATGTAAAAATCCAACCAGTTAAGGCAAGGCTGTGTAGAAATTCAGCAAATTCAGGCAAGATAATTAATTATAAATCAAATGTCCGAAGAGTCCACCATTATTTTCCAAACACAACAACAATCGCCCTCGAAAGTTATGTTGCTCATGTCGAAGCATTTCAGGAGTTATTACTTCACTAGTTCGTATAGTTCTATCCATCATATTCAATAGTATTGTTGGAGATTCATAAAAAGTAAGATTTTTCTCATATCTCCTTAAACAGAAATCAAGTGCACTTAAATTTGGTGATCTAGGAGGTTACGCGATTGGTTCACATCGCCCTATCCATCGATCTGGATATTGCTGATTTAAGAACGTTCGTAAGATACGACCATACTAATCAAGAGCACCATCTTGTTCAAGTCATTCCTTCTAACCGCAATTGCAACGTTTTCAAGGTATCCTGGCAAATCTTTCTAGAGGTCATGGGATTTTCAATTGTCCGTTCAAAATAAAAATGTGGCTCAATCATTTGGCCGTTACATATGCCAACTTATACATGTAAGCCTCAACGATGTTGATTGAGCACCTCACGATACCAATGTAGATTTTTTTATGTAGTTTCATCACTGAAACAAACATTCCAATATAAAAATCAGGATTTCCGTCCAACATGCCAAGCGCCCACCTACAAATTTGAAATTTCAATCCACTATCTGCTGGACTTAATTCCTGTACTAGAGTAATGTAATAAGGATGGTATCGGATAGATCTTAATAATATATGAGCTGAAGTTCGGGAGTCTTTGGCGATGTCGTGGATCTATGATCTACTTGTAATTTGATAAGAAAGATGGTGCTGATTGGAAAATCTTTGGTCGTAAGTATGACCAGCAAGTCTTTAATTTGTATTACATTTACCTAATGTTATGAGAATGTTAGTTACTTGACTGGGAGTGTAGTTAGCCATTCTACATATTAAGAATCTCGTTATAAAATTCATTAATTCTCAGTAATAACGTATCAATAATAATCAAAAAAACATGCTTATCCCGGAGCTAGTTGAATTTGCACCACCTAACATGAAACTCTTGCTTAAATATGAAGGGGCTCGGTTAATGGAATCGGAAAATCCTACTCGAGTGGAAGCCTTTTAATTATTGAAGAAAATGCTCTTTTGATTGACACTAAAAATTCTCATACTTTTCTGGAATGTAACTTTTCAGTTTATTGAAATTATAAGGATTTCCCATGTGGCAGCTATGTCTCGATCATGAATTCGTGGAGTGGCGGGGAAGGGCTTTTACGCTGCGAGAATATTAGGTCCTCTCGTGAATGAGTTAATCAGCCGATTATGAGCCAAGCCCTTTGGCTGTTTAGGTCGGTACAAACTATTAAACAGCCCAACACACAGTAGGAGAAATTACTGTCGGATAAGCATGAAAGCTTATCCGAAGAATTTCCCGCTCTTTCTGAATCCGGGGTCGAAAATAGGGGTTCCTATGTAGAGGAGACCGGGGCAGATTGACCAACTTTTTACATTTTTACTTTTTTCTAAAAAACTATGAATTCTATCTTAAAATACAAAAAATTCTTTGAAAGTACTCCGCCTAAGGAGTACTAACGATTTTTATCGAGAAAATATTTCAGCCAACTTGCCCCATAGGCGGGGCATATTGAACCATGTAACTTTTACCTGTAACACTTTTCGAATACTTTGCAAATGGAACGTCACTTTAGAGTGTTAAAAGATGTAGTATTAAATGAAACTTGGTTAAAACAAATATAAGAAAATATGAATTATAGTTTTTGAAAACTCTAAATACAATTAGTCTAGATAAAACGAGCAAGATCAATTTTGTTGAAATTTGATAACGATAATATAGGGCGTAAGGTAAGGTAAACGTAAAGTATTGGACAATATGATTTATAGAAGTTGGAGTTAAAAGGTTTATACTCATTGAGTTATTTAGTTAAAGAAAGATAATAGGACAAGGTAGTTTTCCGCTAGCATTTGGACCGGACGTGTCCAGTGAGAGCAACTAGCGTTTAGGAAGAGGTGATAAAATATAGGTAAAGCGTGGGAGCGAAAGAGTAGAATTGAGAGTGAAGCCCTCGGCGAAAGGACAGTGTAAAAGTTCCTGTTTGTAAAAGTTCAACTATTTACCGATAAAAGAGAACTTTGCATTATCTAATTACTCGACCTTTCACACCGCCAACCCACACATACAAATCCCACAATAATCATTAACAAATAACGTGTATAATTTAATTTAACATTGTTTAAAAATGCAAGATATTATTTTATAAATAATATTAAGTAATGATGTAGCGTACAGCTTCGTATGTCAAGACAATAAAGAATAGCATCATTAATAATCTCCAATTAGTACATGAGACGTCACCTCTGATGAGCACTATAGATATACAAAAATCTGATTTTTGGTGGCTCTAGTTATCCGAGAGAAAACTTTACGTGATTTATAGGGCCTTCAGCAAGAAAACTTTTCTCAGGCCATAAAAACGCAGACGTCCACTTCCAAGCAAGTCTCTCCCATAGATAGTCAAGCAGTTCAGTCGACCAGTCAAAGTGTTTATGACGTGCAAGATTTGTAGCACCTTGCCTTTTATAACCTTTTATTTATGTGTAGTCAGGAAGAAATAATAAAAGGAGTAAGTAGAAACAAAAACTATTTCAAATAAGTACTTATTCACGTATCTCATTCATTGTAGCGAGCATAAATCTATTCGGTATAACAATTCTGCTTCGGTTAGAATTGTTATTCATTTTTCCGGAGTACTGTTTTTGAATATATTTCACCGCGTGTACGTTCACTTCGGACGTCACACTTACTTACATCGGTACATCTACGCATTTACCAAATTCAAAATTCCAAGTGATTACTTTGTTGTATAACAGATTGTAAAAGAAGCCAGAGATGAAATGATTTCATTTAGGAAAACTAGTATTAAATGTCAATTTGGTTTATGAATGTTTGATTTCAATGAGTCCGGAAACAAAAGAAATCTCCCCCTCCTCCCAAAGGTATTATACGGATAAGTATTTTTGTTGTAACTCGTTTTATCCAGAATAGCAAATTATAACTTTAAACTTCCTCGTCAAATGATAATTTAACAAATTACAATATTTGAAATGTCCTTTGTTAAATATTATCAGGTGCTATCAATCTAGTATTATTAAGGTTAATTGATTTATACAAACGACTACACAGTTATTGTCAGGTGAATGTTCGCTAATCTCATAAAGTAAAAGTAAGGCTCTTGTCACTGAAATAACAATAATCATGACGCGTTTGTGTAGCAGGAGGGAGCCTAAAACGATGAAAAGTCGTGAAAATATTTGACTACGAGTGAAACTACTAATGCGTCACGAGACTATGATAAAACTCGGAGGGACATTAAGAAACGATTGTTTCCACAGAAAGATCATTGAGACACGGCTAATTATCATTTTTATCGAAATAATTGAGCGATAAGGTTGTTTGACGAAAGCGTTGTTAGCGTGGTTGTGCGATTAGCAGCTCGGTACTCGCGCGGCTAAACGGAAAAGAAGAGCGATCACGCGTGCAGTACAGCATTCTTGCGCGTCGAGAGCGCAACCGCTCGTAGCGTCCGAGAGAAGCCGCGATCGCGCGTGCATTGAGAAAGTCTGCGTGTATGTGTTGCGATACCAAGGCCGTGCTCTCGTGCGCTCAGTATTGTTGGAGCGACAGGAACGCCAGTAGTATATTGCCGCTACCATGATAACTCATAAGTTACGTTTTTAATAAAGCTCTCGAGCGACGCTTTGGCTTGCGCATCATCCATGCCACTGCAATACGCTTCGGCGCTCCGACTTTGATTCCGTGGTTACTCTCGAGCCGAAGGATGCTGCCAACGTGGATCGGCTGCCGTAAGTCCAAGCTCTTTGTCTTTGCATTTTCGCGTTTCATCCTGCGCGATTCGTTGGCTCGCGAGCGGAGAGCGGAGAGCGGACCGCGAGTGCGCGTGTGCCGTACGAGAGCTCGCCTTCGCGTGAAACTCGCACCCTTCGGCGAGCAGGCAGAATGCCTGTGACGACTGATTGCCTCCTTACTTTTATGCGCAGGCGGCACGCTGCAGCAGCGATGGGTGTTCGCCGTAATGGGCTTCTTCGGTCTCTTCAATGCATATGCATTGCGCATTTGCTTATCAATCGCCATCACGGAGATGGTCGTACCCTTGAATATTACCGAAGAACTCATCGACGACACGTGCTCGAATCTCGTTGTTCAGCCGGCCAACGTGAGCACTCCGATCGCTAGCAACGGCGCAACTTATAAGTGGAGCGAATATACTCAGGTGAGGCGATCATAGCTCTGATCGTTGAAGCATTCGATCTTTCGTTTGCATCTCAGTGCCGTCTCGGCAGAACCAAATCAGTCTGAGTTTTAGAAAAATTTACTCGACTTACTTACTGCCATGTGCGGCAAAGCTCGAGGTTCGGTCGAAACCTCTGAAATTCACGATGCTCAATCGTTTAAATCATTGTCTGAAAAAAAAACATCATGTGAATATTTTGCAATAATATTAGATATTTCAAAAGTATATGGGTTCGAAAAGGACTAGGACCTTCGAAAATTATTGCAATAATATTATAACTCAGAGGTAACGCGTCTTATGAGCCCTTGATAAACATCTCAGCCAAGTATGCCAAACATCTAATCGGTTAACTTATAAATAGAGAAAACCAACTTTAGATCCCAAAATAACAGTCTAAACGACATTGTGGAAAAATATTGAATCTGCCATTCAAAAGGTCTCAAACATTCAATATCAATTATCTCAAGTAATTTGCCAGTTTTACTTATTGAAACTCGAATATTTGGAATTCCGGAAAAACCGACTGGACCGATTCTGCCGGGACACACATGTACATTCGATTTGATCTTCCAGACGTGGCTGTAAATCTATTCGATGAAATAACTTTAACACTCGTATGTTCAAATTCGAAGGTTTTTTGTTTATGAGTTCTGATTCGCCAAGACTGTCTCTTGAGCAAGCTTTATATGTCATATAATGCTACACTAACGACTGTATTACAATAGCCATTCGCGTCTGAATTGATCTGCAATGACATAGCCGTGATAACGTTTGATGTGCGCTCAGTATGTCTATTTTTAAAAGAAAATTACAAACTAACATAGCTGCTAATCCGTTTAGCTCAAATTTATCGAGTTCCCTTTTCTTCAATTCTTATTTTCATTCAAATATACTTGAACAGTTATGTATTTCATAAATTCTGAGATTTCTCAAAGTTATCATTTCTGTTTGCCATACAGCTGGTTAAATTAGAATTGTACGTTTTTACAATCTTTCAGTTACCGAAACAGAGTTTTGTACGTACGGTACGCAACTTTTGCAATTGGAATAGCTATCATGATATTAATTGCGCAAAGCTTCATTTTCAAGCTATTACTACGAGCTTGTCTTCCGTCTAACATTAACATCCTAATTTGCAAAACAAACTCGCTTTACAATTGGTATTAAGAAATATCTGTAGCAAGTTTCAAATCGATCTCTGTAAAATTACTCGAGTTAGCTAAATGTTTTATTATATTATTGTAAAAACTAAAAATGCCTATTTTACAAGGCAACTATATTTTTTTCCGACAAGTATACGTAGCACGCAATAGCTTGAAATTTGCAGGCTGTTTGATATTCATACGAGACAACTGCATTAAAAATATTGAAAAATTATGCAAGAAAGTAATCAGTGCTTTAACAGTTTCTAGCGGCTCAAGTAGTTTTCAAAAACTCGCTGTGTATTTCTAGAGGCAGTGAAAGTGAAAAAATGAGGAAAAAATGAGGAAAAAAGAGGAAAAAAGAGGAAAAAAGAGGAAAAAATGAGAAAAAAACGAGGAAAACGTCTAATTAAATGAGACAAGTTCGATCATAGTCAAGATACTTATCGATAAAGCAGCTGCACAAGCTTTGCAATTGCGGCTGAACGAAACGTACTCGTACGTAAGAAGACTAACCAAGTTAAATGATTCCAGGGTATAATTCTTTCGTCGTTCTATTGGGGCTACGTGATCACTCACCTACCAGGCGGACTATTAGCCGAAAAGTTCGGAGGGAAGCACACCTTGGGACTGGGAATATTGTTGACGGCAATATTCACTGGCATGGTACCAATTGCGGTCCAATGGGCCGACTCCACGGCACTGATCATTCTACGAGTGCTCATGGGCTTCAGCGGAGGTGTTATATTTCCTGCACTGAACGTGATGATGGCGCACTGGGTGCCGCCGCAAGAGCTCTCACTGATCACCGCAGTGATCTTCATCGGTGTAGATTTCGGCGTAATTGGCGCTACCACGATATCCGGACTTATTCTACGCTACTCATCGGTCGGCTGGCCTGGGGTATTCTATTTCTTCGGTGGCATCGGCATATTGTGGTTCGTACTGTGGGCACTGCTGTGCTACAATGATCCAGACGAGCATCCATTCATCTCCGACAAAGAGAAGACGTATCTGCGGGAGTCCCTGCACGAGCTCACCCACAAGGATTCGCCAGCCGTGCCTTGGTTGCACATATTCAGATCGCGGTGTTTCTGGGCGCTGCTCGCCGTGCAGATTGGCCACGATTGGGGCCTCTACACGCTCGTCACGGACTTGCCAAAGTACATGAGTAGCGTACTCAGATTTTCCGTCGAGTACAATGGCTACCTGTCCTCGCTACCCAATCTGTGCTCGGTCTTTTATTGTCTTTTCATATCGTGGATCACCGACAAAATGATCACGCTCGACTACGTGTCGAGGACCAACGCGCGAAAGATCAACACCACAATCTCCACGATCATTCCGGGACTGCTCATCATCGGCGCTTCTTACGCAGGCTGCGACCGCGTCGCTGTGGTTATCATGTTCACGCTGGGCGTCACCTTCATGGGCAGCAGTTTGCCCGGCATCAAAGTTAACTCGCTGGATTTGAGTCCGAACTACGCGGGCACCGTCATGGCACTCACCAATGGAATAGCCAGCTTTACCGGCATTATGACGCCCTATCTCGTGGGCGTTTTAACGCCCAATCAAACTCTCAGCGAGTGGCGCCTCGTCTTCTGGATCGTCTTTCTCGTTTTCTTCGTCACGAATACTATTTTCGTATCGTTCGCCAGCGGAGACGTCCAGGATTGGAATGATCCCAAGTTCTTGAAAGACGAGTACGATAAGAAGATGAACACGAAACTTTGATATTTCTTTATTTTTTTCTCCAATCATAGTAATCCCATAGCTTTTCCCAAATCACTAGACAACGTCGTGTAGCGGAGCAACGAGCAACGAGTGCCATACGCAATGACGAATGGCCGAGAGCATTTTCTGTATCACGATATTGTATTGTTACGATCTCGCACTTATGCGTAGACAGTAGTCAGCATTGTCTTTTTATTTAGTGAATAGTGCGAGGATCAAGTTTCTTTCTGTTTTTGCGAATGGATCCCTTCACTTACAGATAAAACATTGTTGGAAACTACGTTATGCGCATTAGTAATTTTTATATTTCAGATTTTACATCATCGTCGCTTCAATCGCATTGTTTGACCATATAAAAATTATCACGTGCCTTCTATAATGGTCTTCAATCTCGACATTACTAAGCAATTAGAAATCAGAGAAAGTTAAATGCACACATCGGAATTTGATTGACTGACAGTTGATGTCGCATGCCTCATTGTGTTCGTTTCTTTTCTAAACGTTCCTTAATTCTCATGGCATGCAATTGAACGCGATTGTTTGTTTGTTTTTTTTTTTTTTTTTTTTTCATTTCAACAGATGAAGAGTGAAATGCGAACTACAAAACGACGAATTGTGCGATAAGTTTACGCAATTTATAAATACAAGGCCTCATTTCACACATTAACTCACTTGTTATTGTTGTATTGTGTACTAAATTACGAAAATAAAATAGCGTAGAGAAAATCAATAATTAAATGCTATAAGACAATTGACGAGCAAACTATCTCATCAGAAGCGGATGAAATGAGACGCAGAGCAACGTTTCTGAATGCGCTTTTTTCCGACGCAATGACGACGCCTCAAACTTCATCTCTCCCTCTCCCCCCTTGAAAACGAAGTCTCGCGACGCTCGCTTTAGCTCCCAACGAAGCTTTATTATTCGATCGATATATAAATTGCGGGAGAGTCCGATACGTGTCATCGTTTATGCGCGACTGCAAATCGTGTGTCTCTTTCTTTTTTTTTTCTTTCCGCAAGCGACTCCTCTACTAGATCTCGTTGCCTCGAGAACAAGAGCCAAGGCGCACGCAGCGATATGCTCGGCGAAGTACAAAAGTGCTGCGACTTCGTTGCGATTAAAGACAATCAATTGCTTGAATTTGTGCGGTTTTTGTTATTTGCAAGGCGCGAATATTCCGTAGCGATGGATTTTTGAGCTGATGAGCTTCCTGGCGCTGTTCAATGCATATGCAATGCGAACCTGCTTATCGATCGCCATTACGCAGATGGTCGTACCGACAACGAGCGTAGAAGGCGTGCTGTTCGACGACGCTTGCCCGACTACGGAAACTGATTTACCAACCAACATTACGATGCATGGCAGTAAAGGGACCTACGCAGGTTTTTCATTGCTATTGTCTTCACTTTTACTTGACGTTCTGTAGAGTGCCGAATAGCTCGATGAGATGCGTAGCCATTGGGAATCGAATCAATGATCGACCAAGTGCGCATTGACAGCTATTTGAGAGCACTGCGTTTGTCGAAAATGCGAGTCAGTGAAAAACTGCGCCTCGATTATCAGATATCGAGCAACGATTCGTAATGAGCATTGGCCTCTCGTACAAAGAACAAGTAGACCGAAAGGCGCGTATGAATGACAAGTGACTGTCCACAGGGCCTGATACTGTCGTCATTTAACTGGAGCTACATCGTGACACACTTACCAGGCGGTATAGTGGCGAACCAATACGACGGCAAGTACACTCTGGGCGTCCAAATTCTGCTGACGCCGGCGGCGGTGCACTGGGCTGACTCGGGCGAATCCTCATGGGTCTCGGAGAAGGTACAACGTACCTCGCCATCAACGTGCCCCTCGCTCAGTGGAGCTCACCGCGGCTCTGATCGCGGTCTTCTAATATGGTTCATTATCTGGCCGTCGCTGTGCCACAACAGTCGGCGGGAGCATCCTTTCATATCTGAAAACGAGATGGATTAGCTGAAGGAGCGCACGTGTGAGCACACCCACGAGGATCAAAGCCGCTGTGATTGACTTCAACTGGCCTATCCCAAGTGCAGTCCTGACATTTACCATGAAAAACAATGGCTACCTCGGGTCCCTGGTTTTTTCTTTGCTTGTAGCTCGCGGACTGCCCGATTGTCGACCATACGTAATGGCCGCGACGTGCTCGTCGATCTTCATCGTGGTCGCTTCTTACGCAGGTTGCAATCGTATCTTCGTCGTCGGCACGTTCACCGTCGCCATGACGGCCATGGGCACGGCTTTTCCCAGTGTCATGGTCAACGCGCTTGATCTCAGCCCCAACTATGCCGGCACGTCGATGGCTTTGACGAACGGGCATTGCCTCGCCGTATGTCATCGGCGTAATGACGCCCAATCAAACGCTCGGCGAGTGGAGACGTGGGATTGGTCTTTTGAGTTTCGTCCGCAGTTTTGGTCATTAGCGATATCGTGTTCATGCTCTACGGTAGTAGAGAGGTCGAGTGCTGGAATGATCTGCAATTCGTCGGCGCGGAGAAGGAGAACAAGAGGAATAAGGTTGTCGAGGAGGTTAGACTGTAATTGCGGCTGTAATTCTATATTTTTACTTAAACATTATATCTTTGTGTTGTATTAGTTACGCCATTGTTTGCTAGAGCTTTGATTTTGATAGATTGACGATGTGCGATTTTTTAATGATGTTTAAGTTTACATAGAAAATCGATATTTTGTATTAGGATTTTATAAAGTAAACGAGAACATGATATGTAATGCTATACTTACTGCTATAATATCACAAATATATTATGAAAAAGCAATTCTTATTTTTACACGTAAAAAGTACCATTTCAAGTATAAAGTTTGATGAGTAACATTTTATCGCACAATGTATAATTATTATTTGGTATTGATCGAAACAAAAATAAAACGAGCAATTAAGTTTTAGTTCTTTCTCTCTCATTTTGTCGGACAATTTAGTTTGGTCAAGGAAAATGATCGAGTTAAATGATTTTGATTTGCTAAATTAAAAGGTTGAGCGTTTCAATTGAAAAGATCAACACGGTGTTTGCAAACATTTGACTGATGCATAAGTCTTGAGTGAACATTTCTTCTTCCCAATACAAATCTTTGGACATTTACGATGCATATGTTTGTGAAACAATTGCATTGAAAAAGTTTCCGGCATTCGTAAATAAATCTATGCAGTAACGACGACTACATTTTTTGACTTTACGATCGATGATTAAACATTTCAATAATGATTTTGTAACAGATATTTCCTTGAGTATTCTGTGCAGATGTTTAATGTTAAATTTCGTTGATATTTTAAATTTGTTATACATCAATTCGCTCCGCTCGACACATGTTCCAAACTTATAATTTGTCTTTTCAAGTATTTCAATAAATCTTACAATTTGTAAATGACATTTCAAGTCGATTATAATCAGTTGAGTAGAGTTACGTACGTGACTAAAGCTACATGCAGTTTCCTTCATAATTCTTACTGATGGGACACTTTTAAATAAATATATCGCAGTTGAATAATTGAAATTGTTGTTCTATATCGGGATGAGCAATGTTATCTAACGAGTAACTAGAATAACATTAATCCGAAAATGTCATTGCTTTACGCATAGTTTGCCGGATCAATTGAATTGGTTAAATTGGTTAGATTCTAACAAGTTAAAAATTTTTCACTCTCAAAACAGAACATGTTTCGTTAGCTTAGCGAACTGCTTTTTGACAAAAATCACCATTTCATTTTAGTTACTCTACGTAATGAGAAAAATTTTGTTTAACGTAAGGTAAAACCTTCCCGTTAAACACATTTTTGTTATCTCAAGAACAGCTGCTTGAGAATGCAACGGACGAAAGAAATTCCTTTTTGCAGTATGATCAGGTGTAGGCATACTGAAACCATCGAATACAGTAATAAGCTGATAAGATATCTTTCTTAGCGAACTCATCCTTCTACAGGATTAAAAGTGCGTTATTAGAAAAAACAGAAATATGCATATTTGGTACAAATGTAAATCTACATTGATTACGCATATACTAGAAACGACAATTAAAGTATTTCGCGAATGTTAATGAGATTAGTTGAAAAAAGAATATAATTTCAATGTTCCTTTAACAGAAAACGAATCATCTGCAAGTAGAATTCTAAGATAGTTATTTTGTGATTCACAAATTATCATTTGAAATATTTCTTGTATTTGTCGGAGTCGTTACGAATGAAACCCGAATATTTTATCGACAAAGATTACGAAAATAAATATCTATAACAAAATATTCCCTCGCAGATTTCAAATTGGAAAATCCGTGTGCGCGTGCATAGGTGTATTTTTTAAAGGGATCTAAAAGAAAGAATTGTTCGAAATTTATCAAGTGGTAGCAACTAAGAACTTTGAATTAAATTGCACGAGGAGTGCCCGAAAGTGGAGGGCACACGACGAGCGACGTCTTTTAACAAGGACCCTACGCTATTATTCAACGACGTAAGTTTGGTCGTCTAAGAGGATCCCTCTAAAACCATAATATCGACTCTATTGAGCATGGCATCCGGCCATGCCAAAGAAAAAGAAACTCGGATGTACGCGTTCGATGAAGTTGAGTATGCTCGGGTGACGCAAGAGGCGCGGCGAAATTCTTAATAAAATGTTGAATATTTCAAGCTCATTTTATCCAATCGTGAATGCACAATCTAAGCGCGCGTCCTCTCTCTCTCTCTCTCACTCTGACTGCCTTTTTCGCTGCACGCAATAATTCGCCTGCTATAAGTTATCGAGCGCGAGTGCAGGTTTTCTTATTTATATGAGAGCTCTGTGCCTGTTCAGCCGAGCTCGAACTGGACGCTCGTCAGACTGGCTTTTCGTCGGCGGGCCGCGGAAAATCGCGCGACACCGCTCGAGAGTGCGCGCGCGGCGCTTGTAACGTCGCTGGCGCCAATGCGAGTAACGCCGCGCGGAGTGGTGGCTGCTCGATTTCCCTTTTTAACGCGCTCGAGCTTCCGCTCGCTTTGATCGCAAGCGCGAAAGGTGCGACGAGCACAAGCCCGGTTGCGCGCGCGCGCGCGTCGTGCTCTTTAAACAGCTGAGACGAGGCATCGGCAAGCATCTGGCGGCGCGGTGCAGTCGCGCGGGTCGCGGGTATAGTGCTTTGTTGACTGTCTCTTTGAAATGTAGCGGGTCGCCGGCTGGCGCGAGCGCGTAAATTACCGAGCCACGACGTGCGTTCGTCCGCGAAGCGCTAACGCGAGATTTCATCTGTTCCGAGTATCTCAAGTTCAATATTTGACGACGTTCGGCGCGATCTCTGCGAGACTGCACTGCGATACCGGTCGAAAGATGCGATCCGAGTGGGCGTTGGACGCGTGGAGATCATGCTGTAAGTACATACTTTTTCTGGCGATTCATCGGTGCATTCGAACTTGGTTTCATGCTTGGCAAAGGAGGCTCTCCTAATTCTTTTGAAAATGAAATGCCGCGCTCGAGCAATGATTTGTAAGCGCGTTAACGCGCTACCACGATACCGGATAAGTCATTGTTGCATCGAGCTCCGCCTTATCTTGCCTGTTGCCAAAATAGAATTCTCTAAAAGAGACATCGCTCTCAATATAGAAATAGCCACCGAGTCACCAATGCATTCAAACGCTATCAGACAAGATCTCGTTGGCTGCTTGTGTCGTTCAAAATTATTTTCATACCACGCAACGATGTCGGCCGTTCATTATTTACTTACAATTATTGAAATGTCTAGTGTACTAACCGATCTACAATCGTATTCCTGCACGCAAGCGCTTGCATCTGATAAGTTAATGGCGACGACTTACTATTAATAATTGTCCACCGTATTTAGAGAAAAGAAACTTTGATAACGCAGCTAATTAATCGACGAATTGCAATCGGCACTACAAAGCGCGACGAGGTTGATCGATAACACATCGTTGATGCGTCAACGATTAAAGTTGCAAGCGAGACGCGTTGGAAAGACGACGAGCACTTGTGTAAGAATTATTCCTCATTAGGCATAAATATTCCCCAACGATGGATATTCGCTCTGATGGGCTTTCTGGGCCTGTTCAACGCATACGCCATGCGAGCTTGTCTGTCGATCAGCATCACGGAAATGGCAGTGCCTACGGAGCATGCGACCGAATCGAGGGACGACGCGTGTCAAGTCAACGTTACGTCGAGCGGTAACGCAACCGCCGTGCATAAAGGCAGCTACGAATGGACCGAATACACTCAGGTACAGTCGGCTATGCGCGAAAAAGGAATAATAGCGCGGCTGCGAATTGCACTTTCGCTCGATAAATCAGCGGGCGCAGCCTTGCAAGCTTTTATCGCAAGAGTTAATAGATGCTCGCGTCGTTAAAGCAATAAACGGTTGCGCCGTGCGCGGCAAGGTGAAAAAAGGAAAAGTATATTTAACCCATGACATTCGTTACATAAATCGGTTAATCTGCGATGCGCAGCCGCTCTGTCGATCGGCAATTGAAATTCGCAGGCTATTTAATTTTAATCAATTGGCTTGAGTGGCTTCGTCTCCGTCACGGCAATCGGCCGAATCGCAATCTTAATTAAACAAAACACATCGGCGCTGGATAAGGATCCGCGAATGAATTTTAACGACTTCGTCGTCGGTCCGCGAGACGCAACGCGCTGCCTCGACATTACGGATGCTTGCGGCTTTCAGGGAATCATCCTGTCGTCGTTCTACTGGGGCTACGTGTTGACTCATCTGCCGGGTGGCATGATGGCCGAGAAATTCGGCGGAAAGTATACCCTCGGCATAGGCATCCTTCTGACGGCTGTGTTCACTCTGCTGACCCCCAACGCCGTGGACTGGGGCGGCGCGCCGGCCCTGATAGTCCTGCGCGTGTTGATGGGCCTCGGCGAGGGGACCACTTACCCAGCGGTGAACGTCATGCTCGCGCAGTGGACGCCACCGGAGGAGAGATCGAAGACCGGCTCGTTCGTTTACGCCGGGGCTCCGCTGGGCACCGTCTACGCGACCACGGTGTCGGGTCTGATACTGCGCTACTCGTTGACCGGCTGGCCGGCGGTCTTCTACTTCTTCGGCAGCGTCAACGTGCTGTGGTTCTTGATCTGGGTGGTGCTCTGCTACAACAATCCGCGCGAGCACCCGTTCATCTCGGAGAGCGAGGTGAAGTACTTGAACGAGAGACTGAGCGACCACACTCATCAGCAGCCACCGCCGGTTCCCTGGCGGCACATACTCGCGTCGAAGCCGCTGTGGGCGCTCATCGTCGCTCTGGTCGGTCACAACTGGACCTTCTTGACGATCGTCAGCGATCTGCCCAAATACATGAGTAGCGTGCTCAAGTTTTCCATCCAGAACAACGGCTACCTATCGTCTTTGGCCTACCTGTGCATGTGGTTGGGCAGCTTGCTGACTTCGTGGATCGCCGATTGGGTCATAGCCAGAGGCTACCTGAGCATGACTAACGTGAGGAAAGTCGGCTCGAGCGTAGCGCTCATCGGTCCGGCCATCTTCATCGTCGCTGCTTCTTACGCTGGATGCGATCGAGTAATGGTCGTCGTGATGTTCACCATTGGCATGACTCTGATGGGCACGGCTTTGCCTGGCATCATGGTCAACGTCTTGGATTTGAGTCCCAATTACGCCGGCACGCTGATGGCGCTAACCAATGGCATCTCTGCTCTCACTGGAATCGTTACGCCTTACATCGTTGGAGTCTTGACGCCCAATCAGACCTTGACGGAATGGAAACTGGTTTTCTGGATTGTCTTTGGAGTCAGCATCACTACGAGCATAATATTTTTGATTCACGGCAGCGGCGACGTCGAGTACTGGAACGATCCGGAATTCGTTAAGCAGGAGAGGAGAAAGACAAATAAAAATAACGCGGAGGAAATTGCGACGTAGCGAAACGGTAATGTATGTGATCGTTCAGATTAGAACGTGTCTGATATTGATTTGTAAATATTTTACAGACAAGCTGCGCCGTTGTGCAACAAAGTTCATTTTTAATAAATATCTCTACGTATACGCACGCCAGCGCTAATTACACGTAGAGAAACAATTTGCTGTTGTGTTTACGAATGGAGTATTTCTTTCTAAATTAAAATATTCCGTACAATATTGTCGATTATTGTTTATAAAATTATTACTCTACTCGAATTAATTGCTAATTCTATACTACGATCACCATTTCAGGCTTTTAAGCGCGATTTCATGTTATCGTGATGCTTTTATTCTTAAACAAATAATACAACTAAAGTCTACTTTTTTATTATATCGAAACGTATTCAAGTTAAAATGAAATTAGCATGATCTGAAACAGTAATAAAATATTTTCTTCCTATTTTTATAAGTTATTGTAAGCTGTTACCAATACAAGTACTTGCATGAAAATGTCAAATATTATACAAATACAAGATTACTTTGAATGATCATCTAGATATTCTAGATTTTTCATTGTTCAGGATATTCAAAATCTATTTTGGTAAAAAAAGAGTAAAAACATTTTATAAAGTTTGAGACATACACTTAAAAAATTTTCAAATTCAGTAAAAATAATTGAAATAAGTTATCAGTTTCAGTCAACGCAAATAACTTAATGAGGTTTTCAAAGTGTACATATAATAAATTATATTGACAAGGAAAGTAATGACGATAATCATTTATTGCTCAAATTTATAAGTTATAAATAATTGTATCATGAAAACCCAAGTTTTCTACATAATGATTAAAGCATAAACTTGTCAAAATGCACGAATATTGTTCGTTTATATTTGATGATATATTTTTGTTATTCCTGTAATCCATTCAAATAAATATAATGAATGGCGTAAATTTATTATGGCAATATCTTATCATTATCACTGGTATTGCTTCAAAATGTTATCTCTTACTGAACACCTTGCCACTGGGAGTAATTAAGTTTTATTGAACGCGATTTTCATTGTTAAAAAGATGTTATCGGCCTGGAAAATTTGTTGTAAGTAACGTAACTAATTTTCATATAAATCATTATTATTATTATTATGTAACACTATTTATGGGGCATTCATTATCTAACTAGTACTTACTATTAAATAAGAACACGAGCTTATCGAAATGATTTTAAAAATTAAACGCTGAATTTATTTTTATTGTAGTTTTATTATACGATGAAAACCTTATATAATAGAATAATGCTTACATTGAAAATATAATCAAATAATTTTTCATTGATTATTGGTAAGCGTAAAAATATCAACAGTTTAATTAGTTGTGCATGAGTGAAGTGAATCAATATAAATAGTTAGAGAAGAAACTAAATGTAACAGATATAAAGTTACAAGGTAACAATTCAGTCTTCTGTCAGCTTCAAAAATATTTGATGTAATTTTCTTTTTTATTATTATTTCAATTAAGCTCAAGTAATTGAAATTGATCATAAGCATGAACTTAATTTGGATTATAACTGTAGGATAAAATATAGATTACGGTGCTATTTTTTAATAACAAATATTTCACAGCATTCGCAAATAATTAAAATTATACCTTTTCGTTTACCGATATAAAAGCTACAACTGTGGAAGTGTTGATTATCTAACTATTGAATATAAAAGCTGTTTATAAAAAACTACTCTATAATCCTACCAACTCGTCTTATATGTCTACTAAAACCTTCTCGGACTGCCTGTTCAAGTTCTCGTGTCAAATGCAACAAGTTATTTGGATCTGTTTGTAATAGCACGTGTTTTACTTCATTCGAATCAGAAGTATTTTTTAAACATAAATCTAATATCACCATGGGAATGACTTGATTAAGTTGTGATCTAGATGCTATCTGATAATATATTAAGAATATGATTAAAATGTTCTAATTATATTATTGCACATAATGTAAAAACATTTGTTCTATTTAATTATTACCTGTACTTCAAACCTCCAATCCATATTGTGGTATTGAGGAACTTTTAAATTAAAATTTAAAATAGCTTCAGATAATTCTTCTTTTTTTACTGTATATAATTTACTGACTAAGATTTCTTGTTCTTTGGAAAAACCCAAACTTTTAACCAATTCTCGAAAATCATTCTGAGTAAGCTGTAATTTGTTTAAACGTGTATTATATAAAACTGAAATTAGAATGCAAGTCACAGTAAAATTATTATATCGAAGATAAATTTTACCTTGTACTTACAACCTTCCAACAGAAGATTAAGAAGAGCTTCAACAGAATGTTTTATTACTAGAGGTTCAGCTTGTAATTTTTCTGGAAATTTCAAAGAAATGTTTTATTCAATTATTCGTACATGCTGTTTCTATACACTTGGAAAATGAATAAAATTGAGGAATATAGTTATTTTAAAAGAAAAAAGAAATTAATAGAACTCTTTTGAAAAATATTGCTATGAAATATAGTTTTACAAAATCTCTATAATCTATTATTAAATTTAAGATTGTATATGTTACGTACGCGCTGCTGCGCTATATAATTTAAAATTTGGTCCTTTTTGTAAGTAGTCGATGGCCAATTTACCAAAGTCTTGTAAAACTGCAAAAAATAAAAGATTTAAATCAGTGACAAACATAAACGATGTAGGTTATGTCTATACCTTGTGTTGACTGCTCAGTAAGAAATGACAGGTGTTCTTTATGATCAACATTCAAATTTGGCAACATTGTTAATACTTTTTCAATTGACCAATAAATAAACTTTACAAGCTTATCATTAAAATAAAAATAAATAAAATGAGAACAGGGTAGATAAATACAGACCTTGTATACATACACTGTGTGATGTATCCAAGCAGAAGTGGCATATATAAGTATATTATTGAAGTAACCATTTTTAAAGAGTTATATATAAACGCCGACTGATTGGCAGTAAATACAAAATTTTCATTATCACAATGTTTGCATGATTCAATTATGCTATGAATAAAATTATGTGAATATTGTAATTACTATACGTAATTTATAATTAGTTGCTCAATTAATTATTATTACTTCAAATATAGGATATATTTTTTGTTTATTACAATTTCAATACAATTTTCGTCTTGACAAATCATTTAAATTAAGTATCAATTTTCTATTACGTAGCTTTTATACTTAATACTTTGTTTATTATTTTAACAGCACTTTTAATACAAATCATGTTTTATCCATAGGTTATTCAGGAATATGGAATATGAAATGTGGAAAAAAATGGATTTTTACCATAATGGCATTTCTGGCTTTGACCATCGGCAATGGTATTCGCGTCATCCCTTCCATCACTATCACATAAATAGTTCCTTCCATGAAAGAAACAATGCAATAAAAACACGACAATTGTATTGATTTTAAAAGCCCGCGATAGTAAAAAATGTGACTGGACCAAATGCTGAAAAATACGAGTGGGACGAATACACTCTGGTAATTTTTACAATTCATCAGTCATTAAATCAATAGATGCAGCAAACAATAAAATGTTAAAAACTAACAACACGCTCAATGTGATAAATCAAGGATATAAAATTTGTTGTAGGGTCTAATACTATCGTCTTACTTTTGGGGATATGCAGCCACGCAATTTCCCTTTGGTACTCTATTCGAACGCTTTGGCGGCAAATGTTCTGGGACTTGACATTCTTATACCATGCATTTTAACGTTCTTGACACCAGCTATCGTCTAGGGTGATTCGACAGCTATTATAATTCTACGTGTACTCATGGGCATAAACAGTGGCTCGATGTTTCCGGCGACTAGCATGATGGTATTCCAATGGACAACGCCAGCGGAAAGAACGAATGCTGCACGATCGCCTTGACGGGAGCTGAGGTTGGAACGATTCTCGGCACAATGGTGCTGACAATCATCATAAGCCACACAGATCTGCGTTGGCAAGGCGTGTTTTATTTCTTCGAAGCAGTCGGGATAATGTGGTTTCTGCTGTAGATGTTACTGTGCTACGACAATACAGAAATGCATCCATTCATTTTAGACGAGGAACTCGAGTACCTGAGTGAACGTTGGTCGAGACAGTCGCGTCAAAGACTCGCTCCGGCACTTTGGAAACGTATACTATGCTCGAAGTTAGCTTGAGCTTTTGCAGTAACGCTCTTCGGCCTCGACTTGGCCTATTTTACGGTGGTGAACGATTTACCCAAGTACATGAGTGATATCGTGAAAGTATCCATAGGAGACAATGGCCATCTGTCGTCGTTGTCGTACTTTGGCGAATGGATCGTCACGGCATGAGCGTTTGAATTGTCAATGGAATCATTGAAAAGCAGTGGATGTCCATGACAAACGCAAGAAAACTGTTTACCATGAATTCAATCGTGAGTTTGGCTGGATTCCTCGTTGCTGCCTCGTACATCGAATGCAACGAAGCATTAGTCGTACTATTCTTCTCGGCAATAACGGTCATGGGATCTCGTATCCGAGTTTGATAGTTAACGCTTTGAATCTGAGTCCAAACTATTCTGGTACTCTGTTGGCTATTGGCAATGGACTAGCTGCTCTCGGAGGCGTTTTCACTCTCTATATTATAGGTATTTTAACACTAAATCAGGCGATTGCAGAGTGAAGGCTAGTATTTTTGATTGTATTTGGCATTGCCGTAATAACCGATCTATTCCGTTTTATTCGCCAGTGCCGAAATTCAAGACTGGAACGATGTATAGATTTTAAAAATAGCAAGGACTTGGAAGTAAATATCGCTTATAAAGAAGTTGAACAAGAAGCTGTACCTCTATAAAAAGGAAAGGGAAAGTAATTAAAATGCTATTTCGAATCTGAAATGGTATCTACTTGAAGGTGAAAATAATAGCATACATCACCTGAATAAAATGATGATTTTTAGTAACGACATATCTCGTTTTTCATTGTACATCTTCCAAGTCTACACACGAAATATCAGTATAAGCTTTATCGTAAACTTCTGTTAAACTCGGCTCAGTCAGGACTCGGAGTTATTTGGACTGATAGTTATAAGATTTTTCTAAATGTCCGTTTTTTTCTTTTCAATTTGTGTGTTGCGTGCAATTTCTCGAAATCATTTGGCTGGTATAGATACTTGATATATTTAATTTTTTCATAAAAGCTCGAGCTCGAATCGTTCCAGCTTTCTTGATTATTGACTAATAGATAAAATTTATGCGATAATCTTGAGCGACCAACCATCGATGCGTTGAGAAAAAACAATCAATATCAAACTCTATTTGCAAAAGTGATACGTTAAGCGGTATTCTCGTAAAATCTGTGTATTGTAACGAGCTTACCATTTCTGAGTTGTACATGAGTTAAGCATATTTTCTTCACATTTATATGTAAATGATATGTACATTAAATTCCTGAATGATATAATAATTATCATCACTGAGATCACGTACATTGATATTCGGATTAGCATTGATAATTTATCAAAACAGTTATAAATATTGTTAAATAATGTTAATATGTTATTATCGAAACATCGATTGTATCAACATCTACAAAGATCTGATTCCAATGCGATTGATACAATTTATGGTATTATTAAAGAAAAGCAATAAATTAAAAATGTTTTTGTATGTAAACATAAGCCAACGTCACAATTTTCGATGCCATCAATCTGCATTCTTGGTCACGTAGGTACTGACCATTGAAAGAACCAGTAGCTTTATCTAAGTGATTTAATCAAGTTAATTAGGTGTGACACACTGTAGATTTAACAATATGGGTCAAAAGATAATAAAGCGCAATCTGAAAAAGAAAAGCATTCGTAATACGAATTATTCGCACGTAAACTTCGAAAGGAATTAGTTGTCTGCAATGTAAACGTGCACAGAATATTTAAAAGGAATAAGAGAAAATTTGTGTCAGAATTATATGAATTAGAGGCGAAGTGTTGAGAGTAAGCTAATTGAAAGAAGTTTCTAATTATTTTAATAATATTATTCGCTGAAGTGTGAGTTTGCTTGTGAGAATGGAAGTTTGATTTTTGAATTGCTTTTTACATGAATTTGTAACAAATACTGTTAATATAAGAATTGCTTTCCAGCCATTAAAGCCTTGAATTTAGCATTCGAATGGAAGCCTATAAAGTTATGCCAACTGTATCTTTATAGCGATTCATTAAAAATTAAAATGTTATCATCTTGGAAATCTTGTTGTAAGTAGAAAAAGTGGCGATATTATTTCTGGCTTTTCGAACGAATTCCACTTTAGCAATATAAATTATTTCAGGCTCTGGAATTTCCCAAAAATGGATATTCACTGTTCTTGCCGGTGTAGGATTATGTATAGGAAGTATATTGAGAGTTATTATTTCAATCACTATAATTGAAATGGCAATACCGACCGAAGAATCAGGAAGTTCGGACACTGGAAATTGCAAAAGTTCGAATAGTGCCAATTCGGTTAATCACACGTTATTGGTTTTTCGCAGCGCGGACGAGTCGTTAGCTCGACGCTATCCATGGGACAGCAGGACGCAGGTTCGAGGAAAATGCAAAGTTGCGAGTGCTCAGGCCTTAATTGAAAAATTGTCTGCGCAGGGAGTAATTCTGTCTTCATTTTTCTGGAGTTACACGATCGCCCAGTGCTTCTACGGGTCTTTGTCAGAGCGCTTCGGGGGCAAACATCTCCTAGGCGTGGCAATCTTCGTGCCTGCACTGCTGACTTTCATCACGCCTTATGCAGTCGATTGGGGCGGCTCGACTGCTCTCATAGTTACGCGTGTGCTCATGGGGATAGCCAACGCTGGCATGTACCCGGTTTCCAGCACAATGGTGTCGCACTGGACGACACCCGCCGAGAGAACCAAGATCGGAAATGCCGTGTACGCCGGACCACTGCTAGGCTTATTCATCGGCACCATCGCGCCTGCTCAAATCATCAAATACTCCGGCATGGGTTGGCCTTCTGTCTTTTATTTTTTCGGTGCGATAGGAATGATTTGGTTCCCATTCTGGCTGTTGTTCGTCTACGAGGATCCACAATTGCACCCTTACATATCCGACAAAGAGGCGAAATATTTAGAAAGCAGCTTGGAAGCCGAGAAGGTGCAGAGCAGACTACCTTCAGCTCCGTGGAAGCATATCTTGCTGTGCAAAGAGTTTTGGGCATTCACTTTCATGCTCGTCGGCACCAACTGGGGATACTTCGCCATGGTCAGCGATTTGCCCATCTACATGGGAAACGTCGTTGACTTTTCACTGGAGAACAACGGTTTTTTCTCGGCATTGCCCTACTTGTTCATGTGGCTCAACACCATGGTGAGCACTTGGATCAACGACAAATTATTGGAGCACCAGTGCATGTCTGTGACCAACGTCAGAAAACTATTGGCCTCGGTTTCTGTTATGGGTCCAGGTTTATTTTTAGTGCTGGCTTCGTACGCCGAGTGCGACAAGACATTCGTCGTTGTGGCATTCATGTTTGGAATAACTTTGATGGGCTGCCTTTATCCAAGTGTTATGATGAATCCCTTGGATTTGAGCCCTAATTACGCGGGTTCGCTGATGGCCGTTGGAAACGGATTGGCCGCGTCCGTGGGAATAATTACGCCGTATATCATCGGTGTTTTGACACCCAACTCAACGCTCGTCGAATGGAGATTGGTATTTTGGATTGTATTTATGTTTGCTGTCTTATCGAATGTTGTCTATCTTTTTTGGTTTAACGCCGAAATCAAGCCTTGGAACGATCCCAACTTTGAAAGAAATCAAACGAGTAATGCAAAATCGGGGAACAATGTTCAAGTCAAAGTAATTTCCTAGCGATTTGTCACGCGCATTTCGAAAAAATCTTTGTAGACAATATCATTTAACATTTTCTCGTATACGTAGTATAATTTATCTATTTTTTTATCGTATATTTTATTTGATTGTTTTACACAGTACAAACAAAATTTAGTTAATAACAATTGCTTTAAAGTTTTTTACACACAATTGTTAAGTTATTAACTATGTAGAATATATATTTTTATACATATTATTATAAATACGATATTTTTAGTGTAAATTTGTTAAGTTAAGTTTGTTTTTTCAAATATATGTTAATTTTTGTAATGCGTCTGTATTCTTTTAAACTTTAATTTTACCGTTTTCTGCGCCTCAAATGATGTATGTATTTGGGGTTACATTGAAAGTTTAGTAGTTGGTTAGATAATTTATTTGCAGCTATTTTCGAATTATAATAATCGAAATTTATATCACATTTAATTCCTTAATTATCAAATGAGAGGTGAGTTGAAATTTTCGATTATTTTTGAGCTAAATAAACTATATTTTTGTAAATTATTTCAAACTATGCTGAATCAACGGATTAGAATTTCGAAAGTGTTAATAAATTATGTATATTTTTTCTACATATTTTTTTTTATGATTGAAATGTGTCATAAATTCCAAATAATCCAATAATCTCGACGACTATTGTAACTGTTGATTGCTATTGTTATTGTTATTATTACTTCAAGAACTACGTTTATGTAGAATGCTGGAGAGGTACACTATAAGTGTCTGTACACTGTACACATTAGTTTTGGTTCCCAATAGTTATTAGCATGTATAGACTTTTCTCCCTTACGACTTTTGAAATGCGTGGGGCTCGAACCCATGGTCTTTTGCACAGTACCCACACTCTTATCCACTGAGGGAATGTGACTCCAATCTAACATTGGAATTTTATCAAATTATACAGATATCGCCTATAATCTCGCTATCTTGTTTTCGAACAAGCAAAATCAAACAAGATTAATTGTATTATTTTTTAAAGTAATCATTTTTTAACAGTTGTCATAATATACGACCTTAAATGATAATAAATCAGTTCTTAAAATTTTTAGAATTTTTAATGACATTTCAAGCAATTGTAAGTCGACGTCATTTACAATCAACGTTAAATCGGAATTTTAAATAAGATTTAGATTGAAAGAGTTGCTCGATCATGAATTCACCCTCGTAATGTATGCATGGAGTACATATCTCTCCGTTTCCTTTAATTCTAATAAAATTTTTCCCTACACTAATTTCGAAATAATTTTTTAGTTTTATGCTATTATTATAATTGTAAATTTGTTATTATTCGAGTTAAACGATGTGTATATATTTTAACATATGAGTTATTTATAGCCTAATCATTATTTATAATAAAAATTATGACATTGCATCTCTCTTTTTTAACTTCATTAGACTGTCCTACGACATTTCCAAAAATATTCCAATATTTTTTTTTATATACAGTTTTATGGAAACTGATTGTAATGATTGCATGTTATCATTTGTATCTGTAAATAAGTACAACAGCAACCAGTTGAAATTCGTAGTCTTTTGCAAAGGTTTGACTCGGTCCAATGCTGAGAATCCGACCATTCAATCAAAAAGTTCTTTTTCTATAGTCGTACCGTTTCTAGCTATGTTTTCAATCCATCGGCTAAATGATTCGGCTTCGTTCCACGTTTCACTTAGTGATATCACATCAATTTAAAATTCAGGGCAATCGAAAACAAAAATTCACTGTACGTAAGAACGTAAGTAATTGATTTTGCATATAAAATTTATTGTAAAACTTGTCTCACAGGAATTTAGGAAAAATTTTGAAATTCCAATTCTTCGAGAATAAGACCTTGCTGGCACCATTGATAAAGAATGTTAACTAGCTCAAGAAAGATTACGAGAGTTAGTCACAATTGTAAATAAATGTCTTATTAGACGTACCAATGTCTTACTATCAAAATATCAAAATTGCCTTTAAAGTATAAATTAGCAGTCTGCATAAAAATGACTAAACTACAAATACAGCTGTACAAAAACTTCATTAAGAGCGATAGTATTAAAAGGTCTATACAAGGAATTTTTTCGTAATTTTCTCGAAATTTCAAGATTTATCACGTTTTTCGTGAATTTGTTGAAATTTCAAGATTTTTCACATTTTTCGTGAATTTGTCGAAATTTCAAGATTTTTCATCTTTTTCGTCAATTTATCGAAATTTCAAGATTTTTCACCTTTTTCATAAATTTTATCAAAATTTCAAGATTTTTCACTATTTTTATATATTTGATGTAATTTCAAAATTGTACACATTTTTAATCAAATTGTCGAAATTTCAAGATTTTTCACTATTTTTATATATTTGATGTAATTTCAAAATTGTACACATTTTTAATCAAATTGTCGAAATTTCAAGATTTTTCACTTTTTTCGTCAATTTGACGAAATTATCCCAGATAACACAGCCTGCTAGCACGGTCTGGCACACGCGTGCTCGTCACGGCGTGCCGTCATAATGCAAGTACAGTGGGCGCACGAAAAGCGACGCTCGCCGTGCCGTCAGAATGCGAGCATAATACAAGTCAGAATGCTGTCATTCTGCGGTGATGCAAAAAATAAAATTAGAATAGGCATTACGACGTGGGTTGATTATTTTTCCATACTTATGTATTTTTAATAATATAAATAATTTATTTGACAATAAAAATATATTAAAATATATCTGTCTTTATTTCTATGTAATAATTTCTTTTATTGTATACAAAATACAAATTTGAATATCCATACATATACGTTCGATCGTCATCGATTAATAACGATTTGTTTGAAAATCGTTCTCTTAAAACGTTTAACGTTTTTTACCAGTAATTGTGATTGCTTTTAAAGTAATTAAAAATACTAATTGTGACTGCTATTAAACCGTTAAATTATTGTAAGAGTGTTCCTTGTGTAGTGGAGTCGCATTTTAAATAAAAGTAAGTAAAAATAAAAATTATTAACAATTTTCTTAAAAATTCTACTAGAGGATAAAATAATTATTTAAATTATGATAACTGTGATATATGAAATATTAGTATTTGTATCGAATAATTAAATAGTACAAAATAGTTTATAAAATAAGGAAGTAAAATAAGGTAAAAAATGAAATTGTTTTTATATAGTTTAGATTTTTCATAATTAAGTGCATACTCAGGCTAATCAAAGTTTGATATAGTTTTGCTACAATCATGGTGAAAAAGTACATACTTCACTTCTCCATCCCAATTCCTGAACTCTAGCTCTCCCAATCCTAACTATCGAGCTCATTCTCTCAATCCTAACCATTGGACTCTTAACCGCTCAATGCCAATCTACAAACTCTTGCTCTCTCAATCCCAACTCCAAAAATCTTTCTCTCTAAATCCCAACTTAACCAATCTCTCTTTACTAATCCATCCCAACACCCAAACACTCTCTCTCTCTCTCTTAATGCCAACCTATACATTCTTTATATTTCAATCCCAACGTACGAACTCTTTATCTCTCAATCCCAACTCTCGAACTCTATCTATTTAAATCCTAACTCTCTAACTCTTTTGCCGTCAATCCCAACTCCCAAACTCTTACTCTCTGTATCGCAACTCCAGAAACTCTATCTCTCTCATTCCCAACTTAAGAACACTGTATATTTCAATCCTAACACTCGAACTCTCGCACCAACATCCCAACTCCCGAGCTCTTGCTCTCTCTATCCCAACACCCGAACTCTATCTCTCTCGACCCTAACTCTCAAACCCTTACTCCCACAATCCTAACTCTCGATCTCTTGACCTCTAAAACCCATTCCTCGATCTCTTGACCTCTAAATCCCAACTCTCGAACTCTTACTCTCTCAATCCTAACATTAGGGGAAAGAGTTCGAGAGTTAGGGTCGAGAGAGATCGAAGTCGGGTGTTGGGATAGAAAGAGCAAGAGCTCGGGAGTTGGGTTGGAGCGGTAAGAGTTCGAGAGTTAGGGTAGAAAGAGATAGAGTTCGCATGTTGGGATTGAGGGGGCAAGATTTCGAGAGTTGGGAATGAGAGAGAAAGAGAGAAATGAGATGGGATGTAAAGAGCAAGAGTTCACGAGTTAGGATTCAGAGAGTAAGAGTACGAGATTTGGGATTTAGAGGTCAAGAGTTCGAGAGTTAGGATTGTGGGACTAAAAGTTCGAGAGTTAGGGTCGAGAGAGATAGAGTTCGTGTGTTGGGATAGAGAGAGCAAGAGCTCGGTAGTTGGGATTTGGAGCAAGAGTTCGAGAGTTAGGATTGAGAGAGAATGAGCTCGATAGTTGGGATTGGGAGAGATAGAGTTCAGTAATTGGGATGGAAAGGTGAAGAGTTCAGAAGTTGGGATTGAGAGAGAAAGAGTTGGAGAGTTAGGATTGAGAAAGCAAGAATTCTTAGGTTTTCATTGAGATAGAAAGAGTTCAAGAATTGGCATATAGATTTCAAGAGATCGAGAGTTGGGATTTAGAGGTTAAGAGTTCGAGACTTAGGGTAGAGAGAGATAGAGTTCGGATGTTGGGATAGAGTGACCAAGATTTCGGGAGTTGTGTTGGAGGAGCAAGTGTTCGTGAGATAGGATTGAAATTGACAGAGTTCTTAGGTTGGGATTGGGTGGGCAAGAGGTCGAGAGTTGGTATTGAGAGAGCTAGAGTTCTTAGGTTGGGATTGAGAGGATAATAATGCGAGAGTTGGGTATGAGAGATAAAGAGTTCGGACGTTGGGATTGAGGAGGCAAGATCTCGAGAGTAGTGTTGGAGGTGCAAGAGTTCGAGAGTTAGGATTGAAATTGACAGAGTTCTTATGTTGGGATTGTGAGCTCAAGAGATCGAGAGTTGGGATTGAGAGATAAAGTGTTCGGACATTGGGATTGAGGGGGCAAGATTTCGAGATTTGGGAATGAGAGAGAATGAGTTCAGGAGATGGGATGTAAAGAGCAAGAGTTCAAGAGTTAGGATTGAGAGAGTAAGAGTATGAGAGTTGGGA